TTTTCTTTTCTTTTCTTTTTTTTTTCTTTTTTGAGACAGGGGAAAGTGTGAATGCTGCCCCACACTACCACAAATTATGCAGTTGAGTTTCCCACATGTGGGGAAATTGCAGGGGTCAGCACATTTGGAGAGCAATGGAAAAGCCTTGCCCTGAGAAAACCACCTTCGTGATCATGGTATCTCCCCCGCCAGGTAAGTATCCCCACCCACCCTCAGGTCTTCCTAAATTAGCTCCCAAGTTGCTGCTCACCACCTGCATCTTCTTTCTCCACATAGTCTCCTCCCCTTTCACAAGCTTCCATTCATCACCTCCACCTCATTCCTTTCAACCACAAGCTGTTTTGGATGAGTTAAGATAGGCCAGAGCTGGGACCAGCAGATGGCATCATGGTAACATTGCTGGACTCCCACATGGCAGGCCGTGGTTCGAGTCCCAGACCCTGGTTCAAGTCCCAGACCCGGTGGCTTGAAAATCACACCAGGTGCGTGTGCATACCCACACTCTTGGGAGAAGAAAGGATTGCAGCATGGCCACTCCCTTGGGGCGTGATTTCTCACATTCCTTCTCACTGTCTCTCTACCCCATAGAGCACACGCCCTAAGGCTAAAACCTCCCTCTACACCCCCCCCAAAAAAAAGATGAGGCAAGGGTGTTCTGACTTAAAATACCAGCCACCTGAGTTTAAATCCAGCTCTACCATTTACTTACTTGGCACCCTGGACAAGATATTTAACCTCTCTGAACTTCCTCATCAAGTTTTCTTATCAACATTCCTCATCAATAAGTTGGGATAAAATTACCTTACATGCAGGGCTGGTAGCAACCACTAAATGCACGTGAAAGTGCTTTAAATCATGTACTGATACGGGAGGTTAAGGAGCTTCTACCATGTGCCAGGCACTGCCAAGGACAAAAAAGTCGATAAAACAGTCTCTGCCCTCAAGGAGCGTATAGTCTAGTGGAGGAGAAAGCAGAAACTACCTAGGTATGAAACGAGACCGCCTGTGGTGCGGGCTGCAGTGGTGGACTTGATGAAGTGGGAAGAAGCATCTCTTTTTGGCTAAAGGGGAAGGCTTCCTGAAATCGATGACTGAGCATAGAAGCAGACAGACAAAAAAGAACAAGAGATAGGGAA